CTAAATATGAAATGAGTAACTGCATCTTCTGTTTTTTCTCTCAGTGATCTCTTTATTAGGAATTCTAGAAAGCACCAATAAAATTCACCATGTTGCATAGACATCAGTGGGCATCACCAGACTGTTCTATAGTCCAGAAATATAGGGGGATTCTGTGAGTGGTTGGTTGGCTGGCTCTCATCCACCCTGGAGAAAGCAGAACAGTGGGGACTGGAACTCAGTGATTTCTATCAACTTATAAAACAAGTTTGTGTCAACACTGCCTTGAGTTAGCTAGCAACTCTACACCAACTCCATGCTTTCCTACCTACATGATGTATTTGAGCTCCTTGACAATTTTTCCATTCCAGTGATAGAAATCTCCTTATAAAATCTTCTCCCAACCATGAGACCTTGTCCTCCATTTTTTTTCTGCATACATACTCTCCCTCATTCATTGTATTTGTCAGGAACCACTGTATCAAGCATGCCTTCTCTTAGGATGGTTAGCTTGCCTTTCTATATCCAGTAATAATTGCAGGATAACTACTGTTGTGAATAACACAGAGCAGATATTATGGTACTTAAAAGAAAGTAAAATCAAGGCCTGATCTGTCATGCTGGGTAGCCACCACTGGTTGGGATAAAAGATGGAGAGCCTCTCCAAATAATAATCAGAAGAAGTGGGAATAATTTCTAGATGATTCACCTGTATGTAGAGCTCAAAAAGAGAGTAAAAGACAGCAAAGAAGAGCTGAGATATTTTGTGATATTTTTAGCCCATTCATTCAAATGAAGGGAATAGCAGGGACACTTTCCTTATCTTGGTTATTATTTCACTCTGCAAGAGACAGACATTTTTCCAGGTGGGTTTGCAACTTTCTCCTAAAATACAGAGCACAGGAATGCACACCAAAATCAATATTAGATGTGAATTAAGATTTTATTTTAATTAGTCATTTTCAAAATTTAGGGCATGCAAACGACAGCAAAAAAAAAAAGTCTTTTTACTTTTTTTTTTCCTTTAAGCAGAGTATTTTTAGCATGGATGGAAGACTACCAACCTAGACAAAAGTGCTGAACATCACCCGGCATATAAAGAGCCACAGCAAAATGCATAACAAAAGCTATTAAAGGGCTGAGTCAAAATGCATCTAGCTATGAGGAGGAGATAGAGGCACAATACCATGTAATGATTACTTAGTTTTACATTTGTCATTCAGGGTTTGTGCACATAATTCCAACCTAAAGACTTAAGATTTCTTTTCTCTCTCTAGCTGGTTTTCTCAAATTGCTGCTAAGAATACTTTGGCCTTTTAGAACACTTTTCTTGCCAAGGCTTTCAGAACACTTAACAAATATTAAGGGCTACATTGTGACTTGGACTACATGCCCATGGATGAGAGTGACAAGGAACAAGCATTGTGATTTGGTGATGTGTCTCTAAATCACTCTCCCAGACATGAGATCTGCTCCCTGGCTTAGATTTTGTGCCTCAAGTCATATTCTATCCCTAAATTACCTGTCCAAGGTCCTACAATGGATCAGATGAAAAGGCAGGAATATAAAGCTCTCAAGTCTTAGACTAAACCTACTGTAATGATGAGGTATTAAGGATAGATAGTTCAAAAGTGACCATATGCTCACTTTTCAAAAGGTATTTAGCATCCTTCTGATGCAGGAAGGTAGGTAGTAGGATTTACAAAAGTGGCTATGCATATACACAGGATCCATTTAGGTAGTTTGCAAATCCCACTAAGCATGTATCTGCATGTTTGGACACCGAAGCAGCTCTGAATATCTAGCCCTCATTGACTTATGAATCTAAATCCCCTTTTCAAAAATGATATAGGCACTTATAAGCCAAAGTCTCATTAGCTATCATCAAGACTTAAGGGGTGATTTTCAAAGTCACAAAAGGCATGTATTCACCTAGACACATTTGTCAATGGGATTTAAGTGTCATTTGTACATTTGGAAACCTTCCTCTTAAGTTTCTAATTGCCTAAGTCACTTTTCAAAATAGGATTAGTCATGTTAGTCACTAAGGGTCAGATTCTATTTAACCCATTAGGTATGTAAGTAGGCTTGAAAATCCAGTAATGCAGCTACTTTTGAAACAATTCATAGAATCATAGAAAATGAGGGTTGGAAGGAACCTCAGGAGGTCATCTAGTCCAACCGCCTGCTCAAAGCGGGACCACCCGCAACTAGATCATCCCCACCAACATTCTGTCTACCTGGGTCTTAAAAACCTTCAAGGATGGAGATGCCACAACCTCTCTGGGTAACCAATTACCATCTTACCCTTAAGACTGAATGACAAAAAGCAGCGAGGAGGGGGACACATTCACCCTTTATATTAACAGTTTTTCAGGGACTCAAGCCCCTACATGCATGTCCCCTGCTGGTCAGGAACATAATCACACATAGACACCTACATCTGCTTATACACCTCATAGATGGAATAAAATCTGGTCCTAAATGTCCTAACCATGTATCAGGCTTGCTCCAAGTTATGAAACACATTTCAGTTTGTGGGCATTAACTTCAAATATTTTTTAAAACATTCTTGTATTAGAACAGGTTTTTGGTGCATGAAATGCCAGTTAGCTAAAAACAACACTTTGAAAAGGCCATTATGGGTTGCTTAGAGAATCTAGGATTACCCCACAGTGGGCTCGTCTACACGAGACGCAACTGTGCAGTGGTTACTGCACATTTATTTAGTATTTGTATAATCAAGTACTAAATAAATGTGCAGAAACTGGAGTTACTATGTAGTAGCACCAGCAAACTTCTTTTTAGTGATGCTACTGCACAGTAGCCTAATAATGCTATGCAGTAGTGTATTAGCACTGTTTGCCCCTCTCAGTGTATTAGCACTGTCCATCTCAGCTTTAAACTTGCTTTTCAGAGGCTTGTGTCAGGATTGAAAATGTCTCAGAAGTTGTAGAAGGAAAGTATTTCTTTCAGCACTGGTTGAATGAGACTTTCAAAGAGGATGATAAGAGATGGGCATGGTTGGGGCAGATCCAGGGATGATGCAAGGGTATGGAGGCCTCCCACTTCTGCCTCTATTGGTCCCTGGCTGACCCAGGTGCAGAGAAAGCCCCAGAGCCACTCCTGCCCCACACCAGCCATGGGCTGTGGCTATGCAGGGTGCCAGGCTCAGCAAGGGACAGTGGCAGTGGTGCTTAGGTTACTTGTTTAGCACATGTTCCCTGCTGCTCCATTCCACACATGTCCCCTGCTGGCCAGGAGCAGGCACCGGAAGGAGGAACCCATTCACCATTGCTGCTGTCCCTGGTTGCTTCAGGCATGGGGGAACTGCACAGCTGTTCCTGCCCCAGGCTGCAGGGAGGTGCGGTACAGATAGGTAGGCTCAGCTGGGGACAATTACAGCAGCACAGCTTTCTCTCTCCAGTCCCTGCTCCCAGGCCAGCAGAGGACACTAGGAATGGCAGGGAACAGACACTGGAAGGAGGGACCTGCATGCTGCCACTGCTGTCCCTTGCTGAAGTGTGCACCTAGTACTGCTGCAGCCATAGGCAGTAGAGGCAGCTTTGGAATTCCCCTCATGGCTGGATCCATTGGAAACTACAGCAGTGGTGTGTGTGGAGGGAGGGGTGGACTCCTCCCAGCTCCCTGGTTTTCTCCCACCAATCTGGTGGTTCCAGCCACACCTAGTTCTTATGTCCTCGTGGTTTGAGGGGCAATGTTCCACACCACCCTTTACTAAATCCTGGATTTTCCCATGGACCTAGTGAAACACTTGTGGGTGTTTCCATTGTTGGAAAGTGCCTCCAATATGGCTTGGCTAAGGAAAGCAGCAGGGGATTCTAGAGAGCAGATCTGCTCAAGAAGTATCTTGAACCCAGTGGGCATGTCTACACATGATATTAATGTAACTCAATAAATGGCAGCACAGTTTCCGTGGGAGTTTATTGCTCCCATGCACAGTGTTTACATGTGTGCCTGGGACTGCAGTACATTGAGCTGGGGTGGTGCAACCCCAGCTAGCAGAGGGCCAGGGGGGTCAGCCTGCCAGCCCAAAACTGCTCCCCCACCAGCTCAAGGGTGCTCCAGCTAGCATCCTCATGTCCCAGTCAGCCTTGGTCACTGTCTACATGTGCATTGTGGCAGAATAAATAACTCTACCAAAGGATAGTATATGTATTGGGCAGTACTATCCTATGGTATAGTTAATTAGTTTACTCCAGCCTAATAAGGGCACATGTGTCGATGATGACAATTTACTGCAAAAATAATTAATGAACTCCACAGTAAAGTATCTCTAGTAGATGCCCCGTGTGAGTACTGGGGATAGAATCCTAGAGGGCAGGGCTTTATGTAGCTGGAAATAAAGTCACCATGGAAAACAGTTGATCAAGGCTAAGGGGGATTCTGGGATGTGGGGCAATAGGGAGAACTGTTGGTTGCACAGGCCCATGACATTGGCAAGCCTGTCTACCAGTGGCTCCATGTGGTATTTAGTTGTAGCTAAAAAGGCTACTTGCAAGGGTATACTGGCACGTTAGGGGGCAGCCATTGCTCAAAGCTGTGCTTCAGTCCTTCCTCCCTAGATAGTTAGAGGGAAGCATAGACTACAGCACCTCTGTTGAAGGCCCATGGTGCTTTCTTGTCTTTTCTCAGCCACTGTATGCACCCCTCGCCTCTGGGGTGATTTATGCCCCTGAATGCACATATAGCCTTTGCTCTTCCAACCCCATGCACTCAGCTGTGTAAGGACCCATATTTAAAATTGATTAAGCATTTCCTAAGCTAGAGAGCTTGCTGCAGAATTTAACTCTGTATTATAAAATAAAAAATCAGAGCTGGAGCTGTGGTTGGGTTACTGGCAGCTCTTACCCATATCGGTCTTCAACCCAGGGAGCAGTTTCAACACAACTGGCTTTGCATAAATATCTGATGAGAGTTTTTAGGTAATACATTTTCTCCTGCCACTTTCCCCATAATTTTAGTGCTCAAGCAAACACACCGTAAGTGGAGTCTTTTACCTCATGTTCTCCTTCCTGTGAACTGTCACATACATTTCATAAACTCTCCCCTGGGGAACGGCTCCTGCAGGGATCAGCAAACTTACTCCTGCAGAACAGAAGATACACAAATAAAATAAAACAGAGGAAGAAAGGAAACCAGCCCTGTGCACAAGAATGACAGGAGATTTTGATGATCAAGCCCCACATGCCAGGTTCTCACCCAACTCTCAAGGAGAAAGGGAATATTTACTGCCAATCTGGCTTCTGTACCTGTCAGTTGATTGGCTGCTGCTGCTGCCTCCTTCGAGTCTGTCCTGACTTATCAGAATGGAGAAATGGATATTTCTTCCCCCATCTCTTGTTTTATTTTAGGAACAGACAGATGGTTACTCTGCTGCTTACCTTGTAAAATGAGGGGAAACGCAACCATTGCATCTAAAATTTCAAACAGCTGTAATGGGACAGCTATCCCCAGGCATTGCTTATTTAATTAAAAAGGAAAGAGAGATAGTGCAATACTGCCCCAGGGAGTGACAAGAGCCATTTATTTCTGGGAGGGCCTGGTTAGGTGGTCAGTAACCTATGGTCAGATGTACCTCACTTCTAAATTACCAATAATTGGGACAAAATTGGGTTATTTCACAACCTCTCCGTGACCAATATAAAAGAGTAATCTAGAATTCCAATATCCAGTTTTCCTTGGCAGGCCAAATAAGCACTGTCCTATGCCCTACTTAGTGGCAGTCAGCTTGGAGTTTAATTAGAAATCACTACTTCTGTGATTGCTGTTTCATACAGTTAGTGACTGACTCACCAGGTAACAGATAGAGTGACCTTCCAAGCTTTTATGACCAAAACAATGGGACAGAAAACTCAGTAGACTGTGCAGCTGGACAGCTGTGGATCAGCTGTTACTGCAGAATGGGAACAATCAGAGAATAAAGGTAGGGATTTTAATTCCTCCTACATAAAGTTATAATATGGCTGAAGCAAAATCTGCATGTGTGGGTCTACATGTATGCATGTGTAAAGCAAGTACCTTACAAAATGTTGCCGGACAGGCTGTCATTTCTTGTAAGTATGTGAACGGCTGGGGACCTTGGTATCTGAAAGACTCTCTCTCCCCATGCAGTACATATCCAGCTGTTATCAGTGGATGTTCTTGACCTGCAGCTCCAGATTCTTGTTCTGAATGGGAGGGAGCAGCTGACAGGGCAGGTTTAATGAATGCCTTTGATTCCTGAACTTATTTCTCACAGGATTAGTTACAGCACAGATACATTAAGTTTTTGGATATGTGGCCTAACCCATGGATTTTTTCATTTATATAGGGAGGGCTGTAGAGTAAATGAGGGATTTTAATTATAGTTAATAGGAAGGGATATATTACTGAAAGCTGAATGGGCAGATCATTATAGAGTTTTATTGCTGATGGATGCAGTTGACACTGCTTGTTTTAATTATCTTTAAAGTGACCATAACAACAGATGAGCATTTCCCCCTCCAAATTGATGCTAATATACATGATTTAAATGTAACTAACAGATTTTGCAGTGAGTGTCAGTACAAATTAACTGGAGAATGACTATCCATTTAGATCTTTAGCCAGAGAAGCACAAACATCTGATCCTACAGTGCATATTTTCAACAAAATTCAGCAAATTACAGCCATGGTCAGAACTCCCCTCTGTCTCCCTCCAAAGCTCAACTCTCATTGGGACTCTAAGATTAAATGGTTAGATTTTCAAAACAGTTCCACACTCCATAGCTCCCGCTGAGAACGGTACGAATGTCTAGGGCCAGATTTCTTGAAAGTCTGACCACTTAAATTAGTGTTTACACAGGAACTGGGCATTTAAAAAAAAACAAAAACAAAAGAAAAACCCTGCTCCCAGTTGCAAGTGCTAGCCCCTTTAAAAAACCTGCCTGAATGCATGCAAGCAGGCTCAAACATCAGCCCTCTTCTCAGTGGGCCATCACTAGAATTTGGTTAACTGGAAATTTCAATTAATTGGTGGTTTAGCTAACTGGGGTTCTACCACAGCAAAACAATGGCATAGCACTTTCCCAGTCTATAAAACTGGTCTTTGTTCATTCATTTGTTGTTTTTTTCTCCCCTTTCCTAACTTGTGTAGTAATGAAAAATATACAGTAAAGAACAGAATGGGGAAAAGGTGCACCTCTGCCCTGCCTTCCTTTGCAGGAAAACCAGGTCAGAGAAATTATTTGTTCACCTGCAGGAAATTAATATTCTGCTATCTTTCTTCAGCACTGTGCAGTCTGCAGCAAATTGGAACTGGAACAACTGATTTGTTTTCTAATTAATTTGTCCTTTATATGTGTGATGACAACAGTGAGGTTTTCTGCCTTGAAGTTGCTTTTTTGGAGCTGTATGAAAGAAAAGGTCAAGGGTGTCGAATCTCACTGTGCACAGGAAAGTTCTGAGGTCTAATATATCTGAAAGAAGCAGCTCAGAGACTTACAGTTTGCTGTTAAAGAAGGCCAAGACTTTGGGGAAAGGACATATAAAATAGTTGAGTAAACCTGAATGGAGAACAAAAATCCTGTTTACTCTAAACATAGAAAAGGCAGATTCCCAAGAGTGACCTTGTTTTTTTCTGCTTAAAAGAACAGACAGACAGCTTTACTTAAAGCCACCAAACAATTCCCACTTTCAATACCTTGCAAGGCATGTTTAAACCAGCACTTACCTGAATTGGGAACAATCAGGTGACCCCCTAGGGAGTTGAAGGTCCCAAAAGCAGTGCATGATGTGTCTGTTTGTCGAGCAAGGCTCTGGTTCTTCATGTTCAGTGTCTCATTCTCCAGCAGAGACTGAGAAATTTGTGGAGACAGCTTGGATGAGAAGTCAGACAGATCATCCTGTGGGGTGACTGCGCCTGAGGTATTATAGACCTTGATCTTCAGATTAGGCAGTGGATCAAGGATTGGAGAATTGGTCATGGGAATTTTATCAGAGACATCGTGTAAAGCATAGACAGGACCTCTGTACATGGCTGCAGCAGATGTGAGGTCTGGTGGCACTGCCAGGAGGTCTGTGTTCAAAATGAAAAGGAATAACAACAGAAAGTATTATGTATGGCTACATTCTTCTCACTCTTCCAGGTGAAGAATAAACTTTACTGTACTTCTCATGCCTTCATATTTAAGGATATGATGGACAAAGTTCTCCCAGACCGAGCTGTATCTTCTTTTCCATCCATCCATCCATTCAGCCAGCCATTTCTAGGAGTTTATGTAGCCCTGTGACTATGGAATATATCTTTATGCAAATTAAAGAACATTCTTGCTTTTAAGATTTTAATCTTGTATTCTTTTTCAGCCAGCATTCAGTCAGACTCCAAATGTGAAATGCCCAGCCTCCAAATAAGAGACAAGAGATAAGAAATATGTGCTGCTGCTGGTTGTCCCGGAAAACACAGGTTCCCATTCGTGGTGATGTGCCCAGTGGGTAAAACCAGGGGAAAATGTTATTTGATGGAATTGCAGTATTAAAATTTAACTTCATATCAATGCTGGATGTTTCTTGGTTACCATTGGACTATTGCTTTAAAATTTGATCTGTATTCTTACGCTAGCCTATGTAGTTCTCAATTTTTGGCTCACTCTCTCATTCTACAGAAGTTTACATTCCTCTGTTTTATGTTCTAGAGTATGTTGCAAAAAGACTAACATGAGTTTTTAGCACTTGGCTATCAGAAACAAATGAGTGTAATCCTTTCTTTATGAAGTGCCAATGAACACGCAATTCATGTAGCTCTGGAAATTATTTCCTTATAGTATCTGATTGAGTTGGTCAACATGAAATAAAATGACAACTAACCTTGCCTTGCAGCCTTGATATTAACAGGCTGAAATCCACCATTTAATGCTGAGGAATCTATAATATCCGACTCAAAGTCACGGTGGTTCTTCCGGTATACAAACAGTGCCACAATCACGGAAATAGCCAGGCACACGATGACAGCTATCACAATGCCTACATAGAGAGCTACATCATCTGAGTCAGGAGCAGCTGAAAGGAGACAAGAATGAGACAGTGAACAACAGTAACTGATTGCAAGAATTTCAAGAGTATACATCCATATTACTATCATTTCCTTCAAGTATTTATTACCTTTTTTATAAGTTAATTTAAAATCCATTTCCAAAGCTATAGAAGGAAGCTGTGCACTACCTGTGTGAAAATGATCTTATGTTTCTCTCTTAGCCATGTTCTTATTCTTTATCTATCTACCTATCTATTTATCTAGTAACTAGGCAGTATACAACCCATTTATAACCAGACTTCTAAAGTAACTCTAGCCAAAAGACGTAGATACACCATAGTAACTTGTTGTGAAAAATATAATGTTAATTTTGTGTAGTATCTAATAAGAAAAGGGTTTATTTTTTTACTATTAATATGTCTCCTTTAAAGAAAAAATAAAACAGACTTTCTGTGAGAATGCCTGACATGCCCTCAGTTCATGTGTTTTATTTAGATTCTTTTAAGTGGAATATTCTAAGCAACTACTTTTTCACCCAGAGATCATTTACTTCCTTAGTTTATACTCCATCTGAAATGAAAAATACAGCACAGCAGAATAAAGCAAACCCTAGGATCTTATCACTGGTATGATAATATATTCAGTCAGACAATGGCTGAAACAAATACCATCTATAAAAGCAAAATTCAGCAACGAGTTCTGTAACTTATGAAAGGAACCAGACTCACTGGAGCTCTCCTGTGGGAACATGGCCTGCTATGAGATTTTCACTACCTGCTAGTACCATATCTTCTGCAGTAATCCCAGGGTAGTACCTAGTGTCACTATCTACCGAAGGCCTGAATACATGATCAAATTTGATGTGCCCTGTGTGTAGTGATTCCACTATTAAAAGAAGCATATTGAGCAAAGAAACTGCAAACAAATCAGATCTTTTTAATGCCCTAGTTGGTTTATTGTAGAGCATGTGAAAGAATTTGCTTTGCTTTCTGCTTTCCCAAGCGTAAGCCAGCCCGTCTTCCAGCTGTGCAGGTGAGAGCTGGCACATAGTGAAAAGAATGGAACAAACTCTACAAGCTCTTGGCTACCAGTGTTTTAATGCTCTCTCTTCAAAATTTGACTGCTTTTTTTCACTACCTGGTTCTAGGAGAGGTTAGGAAGCAGAACTCTAATTTTCAGTCTAAGATGCTATCCCTCTCTCCCATTTTTTCTTTGATTTTATAACCAAATGTTTATAATCATTTCCTATTTGACAGTTTTCTAATCTACCGCCAACCTGAAAAGGCTTCACCCTTGGATTTCTATCTTCCAAACAACTCCTCATTCTGTTTTCTTTTGCTCTTTATCCATCAGGGCAGTTGTCATGCTACATCAGCCCTTTGACAGTGTAACACTGTCACTCCTTCTCTCCTTTCAAGTAAGTAGGAAGCTACTCTACTCATTCTCCACATTACACCCATGTTTCCTTATACACATGCAGTAAGGTCAAAGGTAAATCTTAACTCAAGGAACAGCCTAGTGTTACATCAGTTTCCAGGAACATAAAATCAAACATTCAACTTACAAGAAAATCCATATTCATTCTGGGTTCTCTGTTCAGTTGAAATAGGATAAATGAAACCTTAAAAAGAAAGAAATTAAACAAAAATGGGAACAAAATCAAATTAATGAGTGGAACAAAAAAGGAAAGCATGAAAAATGGTTTAATTAAAAAAGAAGGAAAAGAAACCATGGTACTTTAAAATTCAGATTCAGCACAGAATTATGATTTTGCATCTCCTGTCTGCTCTAGAGTCTTACTAAGAATTAATAAGTAGGCAGATTGAATTTCTGAGCCAAAATCGGTCTCGAGTCACTAACTTTGGAGTGCTTAAAGTCTTTCTTTTATTGAGCATAAACTCTAATGGATCTAATTTATTTCAGACATCAAGGGTCATTAGCATATGGAAAGTCTTTTTTTCCCTATTCCTACCATATGCTTTAATTCCCAGGACACGTTCAGTAGGGCTCTAAACAATTTTTTTATTTAATTATCATGGCTTGCTGTTGATCTAATAGAGCTAAAGAAGGCTTGTCGTCATTGGTCAAAGGTTAAATACCCATTTGCTGAGCAGAGCTCTTGCCGAAAACCCTTTTTTAGGATTCCTTTGAAATTATTTTATCCTGCATTTAATAGGAATCCGATAGGAATTCCTCAGGGAGCAAGCAATTTGTCAGTGAACTGGAAACTAAATGGCTCCTATTTGAAATCATTATAAAATCGATAGGACCTCTGAGGTCAGGAGGTTATTTATTTTAAATCTTTGAAGGCATAGTATAATATCAACAAAATCTTAACACAAACTAGTTTTATATCAAGACAGATAAATAACAATAAGTGGTCCATCTGTCCTTCTGTCTTTCCTTCCTTCATCTCCATCAATAATATAATACTTGGCATTTTCCTTTTCCAGTCACTCTCCTTAGTTTGCACCATAACCTATGGATTTGGTAAATATTTTTATTTCTCTTTTTTTCAACTCAGAAAAAAAGATTTAAGAGGGTGCTAGACCAGAGTTCTCAAACTTTTTGGACTCAAGGCACTCCTTGTTACGAATCCAGGCATCTTTCAGAAAATACCAGCTCTTATCTTTCACTTGTTTCACTTGACTATGGAAGAATAATAGAGCAATTCTTCTGTTGCAAAGAACCTGGACAGAGCACGACAGAGCAAAACATTTTGATGCTGTGGATTCCTATTTGAAATTGCTGGGTTTCTTTTATGAAGCATGTGCAGGTGATCATACAACTAATAGTGCTAACAGGGGGGTCCCTGGCACCCTGTTTGAGAGACAGTGTCCAAGGCTGATTCTTCTGAAGTCAGTCAGGAAAGGTAAATGACACATAGCAGGCAAAAGGGAACCAGGGCATTTCTAAAACTGGAATTAGAACATATAGATTCTTGCTCCTGGTCCTTTCCTCAGACTGGGCCACTCTTTACAGACATCCTATGAAAAGTATGTATGCAAACTAACTGCCTGTGACATAAACACCATCTTAACTGAGATAATGGAGACAGGCAAAGCTGTCTTTTGTGATGGAGGTATTTTGCTGTGGCACTATGGGAAAGACAAGTTTACTCATAATGCAAATTTAACGCTTTATTTCACAGCAATGATTCCAGCCTTGCATTCCCTTTTATAAATATTATATTTCTCACTTGTTTGTATGCTTCCTTTTGCATCTGAGGATGCAAAAAAGAACGTAAGGAGGAAAGTCAGGGAAGCTACTTCTGAGGGCTTGTGTACATGGGTAGGTTAGTGTGCAAGCAAGATAAGCTATGAATTTACAGGTCTCCAGCTCTTCTGCAATAACTCCCCACATGAATAATCTTAGTGTTTGCTAAGCCTAGTGTAAAGAAGCCTGAAAATCAGTGACAGCAAGAGCACATTTAGACAGTGCATAATAGAGGAACCCTAGCCTGAGGCAAGTGGTGCAGCAGCAAACAGTTTCACCATGCAATAAACAGACTTCAGAGATTTGGTGAAAATCAGACTATATCCTAATCTTGCACGCAGCAGCTAGAGGGTGGATTTTGCCCTCTGTGGTATGAGTTCAGAATGACTACAGTGGCATTGTTACAGATTTTTTGGAGTCACAGAGGAGGAACTAATCCAAACTCTACTACTTATGCATAAAGATGGGTTCTGGAAACCTGACCATACATTATACTTACAGCATGAAAACGCCTTAAAAACCCTGATACATGTAACATTACATGGGAGCTGAGAAGCTACTCTTCTGGTCATCTTTATTTTTCAAGCTGGCAGATCTCAAGTTCAGAGTTCTCTGTTATCCTATCCTGTTTCATAATATGCAGCAAAAGAGAGCAAGAAGCTGTACTACTTGTATTATTTTAGATTATATTGATAACATTATCTGTGGTAGAGGAAACACGGACACTTGAATTCAGGTTCCGGCAATGAAGTGATGAAGGGCATGATCTTAAAATAGTCAGTGCCGGATTTACCCACAGTATGACCTCACCAAAGAGTGCTACAAAAGCACATATTTACAAGTTCCAGTTCCACATACCTTGTACTGATAACCTCAGATCTCCTCTGCAAAAGCAACTATGTAAAAATGGCCCCATCCTATTCAACAGATCTATTTTATGTATCTATTCAAAATGATGGGTATTAACTTAAGTGGAAAAATAGCAGCTCTGGCTGTTTATAGGAGTTACATTTTTTTTTAGGTTTAATCTGGACTACAGCTGTCACTATATATATGTGGACCAAATGAATTAATTCTCATTGAATGAGGATTAAAATTAATGCAGACTCAGGCAGTCTAAACTAGGCAATTTAAACTGTATTAATTAACATGTATATACAACATTGCTTTTAGGAAAAACAGTCCTTAGGAACTCAGCCAGTAAGCATTGCAAATATCAGTTTCTGCAAGAGAAACTCAGTTGGGATTCTGCAACACAACAGAGTCTATCTGGTACAAAGTAACACCTTTACGAAGCCAAATGTGACAACAACACCTGACTGTGACTAGGTATCAGCATCTTGACTAAGCCCCCAGCCCTGCCCAAGCACATGGGTTACTGGTCTGTGAAGAAGGGGGCAAACCCCCTCCCCTTAACACATTGGCGGAGATGGTCATCAACACTAAGGTCAGTTGCATCCGTTGCAGCTTCTGGAACAGCACTTTAGATAACTGTTAGTAGGTTTGCAACAACGTAGCAGTGCTTAAACAGGCTTATTACAGCCTCCTAATTACTTCTGTTCTCAAGTGTGTAGCACATAAACCCACACAGAGAGGCTACGAATTGGGTCTGTTAAGGAGGTGATGGTCAATGATCATTTATTAACCCTTAATTAGAATTTAAATTTGATTCGAACTGTGCGATGAGAATTTGTTAACACGGTTTAGAAAGTGGCGAGCACATCTATGTTGTGTTAGTCCTGTTAGCCAAAGATAGACAAGATGGTTCTATTCCTTCCTATGGATCGCCAACAGAATTGGTTGCTAAAGTTCAAGCTGTTGCATCTGTGCAAACCCAACCTGGCTTCTCTGTGTTTTACTAAGGGCATACTGTGGTGTGCAAAATGTTTCCAGTGATAAAGCACAAGCCGGCCCTAACAACACTGATTTCCAAGCCCAGCCTGAGTTTGCAGGACTAACAAGAGTGAGTTTGGAGTCTATTGAAAAACAACTAAGCAATCCAGCTATATTTGTACTTGCAAATCAAGCGCGATTGATCTGGAGTTCATTGAGACATGACAAACATGGAAACCTCCTGTGCCATTTTTAAAGACTAAAACTTTTTAGACTAAAACTGAAACAAGCTTTTTAAAAGATTTCCCCCCCTCTTTGCTGCTAATGAAGGGGGAGAATTTCAACAGCAGGGTAAGTGGAAGGGTTGAGGACACAATTTGTCAATGGTGGTTCTGGGGATAAACAGTTACTGTTTCCATGTCAAAATGACAATACAGATCAGGGGTTTTCAACATTGTTTAACAAATGTACCCCCTTCTGCCTCAAAGTTTCAGCTCATGTACCCTTTTATATATTTTTTTGGTTTTAAGCAGGGGGCAGGGACAGCTCGAGGCCCCTGTGGTGAGGGAGGGAGTGGGGCAGGTGGGGCAGAGGCAGGTGCTGCACAGCCGGGGTGGAGTGCAGGACGGAGCTGCGAGAGCAGTTCGTCTGGGAGGCGTGGGGAGGTGGGGACAGTTCCTACCACTGTGCACACCCAGTGGAGGTCCAGGAGGCATGTGCCCCACAGATCTGTGCATGCTGCTGAAGGCTGGACTATGCACCCCACTGCACCAAAAGCCACACAACGCGATATGCCTCCTGTGGCCTGGCAGGCAGGGGACAGACACATACACACATGCAAATACACAGACGCAAACATGCAAGCACAGATGCACACAGGCACAGAGATGCAGACACATAAACACCCACCTCCCCCCCAGCAGGTAAGTTTGTGTGGGGGGAAGGGGCGGGGTGGGGGCCAGATCGAGAATGGCGGGGGTGG